CCCCAAAACCCCAAAACCCCAAAACCCCTGGGTTCAAGTTATAAACTGACTCTAAAATAATAAATAAGATATATTTAACACAAATGGATCCCCAAATTATTGCCAAAAGACTGGCCTTGAATCATTTAGAGATTCTTGCTAGATACCAGAGTATCCTGACACCGTCAGCACTACTGGTGTTAAAGAATCAGGAAAGCTATTGCTTTGACAACTGCTCCAAACAACAGTTTATTTCAATCAGAGATAAGCCGAAGCCTCAAACAGGTAATTAGTGCTTTTGGGCAATTTAACAAGCTTTAATAGATTAACTACTTCATTGAGTCTAGGGAAAGCTTATACCAATATAGGGAATAATGAACTTGGTCAAAGAGATAAGGAGACTAATGATAAATCCTCTGTTGGAGGAATACATTATAAAAACTACAAGGAGCTCAAAGAAATCGTCACAAAGCGAGAGTCTGAAGTCTCAAAAACAGAGCTCTATGAAAATCTTCTCAAACCATTTCAGCACGAGAAGAGGACTCAAGCTCTTCCTGTTAGTGGTAAACCCATTACTATCTACATATGCAAGTACGAGGGCTGCAACAAAGAGTACACAAAGATCTGGAATCTGGTTGACCATGCAAGAATGCATGAAGGCATCAGACCTTACGAGTGCAGCTTCTGTTCAAGAGCATTCACTCAGAAAGTAAATTTAAAGAAGCACCTGAAGCAACACGAGCACAAGAACATCGAAGAGAGGAGAAAGTTTCAGTGAAACATTTGCAACAAGAGGTACACCGAGAGGTACAACTTAATCGTAAGCTATTTAATCATTTCATTGTTGATGAATCCCTATTATTACTTCTTCACTCTATTTTATCTAATGCTCTTGGATAAATTAAGAGGTCTAATAATCCGTATAGGCTCACATGAAAACTCATGAGCAGAATAGAATACCACCAAAATCCAAAGCCACAGTTGCTAAATCAAAGAGGAAGAAGGAGTAGCTATTTTATTAAAATTTCAAAGAAACCCCTTTCTCTATTTTAGGGTCTACGTTATTTGGATCAAGTTACAGTCTTAAATATCACCCAAATAAATATTCACTTAAAAGCATTTTAAGGTTATAATTTGTCTTCTTATCAGCTTCTCTAGTGAATAACTAGCTGATTTCGCTTGCTGCCTGTCCTACATTTCATTTAAATGTTGATAACCAGGAAATAATTTTGCATCAAAGTTCATGAAATCAAGTTCACTAAAACAACAATTTGGTATATCTAGCTCCTGATGAATTTATTTCATCGTGCCAATTCTAAATTAGCATCTAGCTAAATTTTTACCTCACATTTTCACCATTATATGAATAATTTTGCCTGTTAGATAGGTGTATTTTAAACAACTTTATGAAGGCTGATGGGTTTGAAAAATATCAAGCAATCAGCTATGTTGCTGCATAAAAAGAGCTCTAAATATGATTTTAATTGCATCAATGTTTAAATTTGAATTTGTCTATTCTCTCCCACATTACAGTGATTTCTTCGGAGATGTATCCCATAAAGTTCTTTTAATAATATGTGAAAAATAAAGCAACTTCAGGTATCAAAACTGTTTATTATAGATCCCCAAGTAATTTTAGTTATTTTGGCATTATGGGGAAAAATTAGTCAAGGCAGATATCGAAAGAAAAAACCATCCCAATATTTTAAGGATACCATAAAAATTTAAGCCCAAAAGAAGTCTAAGAATTTCTTAATAACAAATTTAAAAATAATTAAATTGAAACCTCTCTTCTTCTTTCTCTTTCCATAACTCTTTAAAATTGAATTTTCCAATTAACATCAAAGTTAATAAGATTTCTAAATATTAAAAAGATTCTTTTCTCCATTCCGTAATAAGAATCAGGCAGCTTCACGACTCAAGTCCAGATTATTATTAGCATTAACTAACTTGTTCATTCGATAACTTAAGGAACTCTGATTACACTCTTGCATGTGTGGAGACATATTCACCTAGATTCAGCACAAGTGTTCTAGAAAATTTATATGGAAACTTTGAGACTTCCTCTTTTCCTTCATTTTTAGGTGTAAGAAGATTTTTTGAATGTTGATTCAGGTGAATTGGAAATAGTTTTAATTTCATTGAGAAGCTTGCCAGAGACTGATCTGATCTGCAAGTTTTGATTATGAGAAAACATAAGTGTTGATATTAAGAGTGATTTAACACTCTAAAGTTTGATAGAGAGGAGCAAAACTTTGAGAATTAGTGTAACTGATTTTTCGTGGTAACAGAAATCAATATCAGCTATCGCAAAATGTTTAGAATCTTACCACCTGAACGTTCATACTATTCATAAAACTTATCTTCTGACTTTATGCACTTCCTATTTTCAGAGCAATCAGGTGGAATTAAAAAATCATCTCTATTAAAACTGTTTGGATCTTCACCTGGAGATATTTAGAATACCTAGCAAGTACACAAAAGTGCAAACCTAACCTTCATTCACCATAAAAATTTGATAAAAAAGACAGTTCACGCCTTATTCATATTTTTGATTAAACCTCTTTGCATCAGCTTAATAGAAATAAGTGTATTGCTAAATTTTTAATTAGAAAGTGATAGCTAGTCCCACCTCTAAAGAAATAAAATTGAAGCACAGAAAGCTTTCATTTAAAAAGAATAAAGTTCCTGACATTTAGGAGAATGAAATAAGGTAGGAGAGCAAGTATCTTCTTAATAAAATTAAGCTTATCTTATTTACTATTAATCTCCATAATTTTTTTGCTTTAAAACTCGTATTATATCTCCGCAAGAATTCTTATACTTATTTGAGAAGTCCACGAGGGATAAAAAATCGTAAAAGCTAAGAGTTAAAATTAATAAAAGAGAAAAAGGTAATGATCGATAACATGATGGTGGTGATGATTTCTGAACTTTTGATTGAGCCATCAAAAGAAACTCAAGTTTATGAAATATACTTGTAACCATCTTGGTTATTTTCCTTGACCCTAGATTGCATAGGGCTGAGATCTTGGTTATGCATAATCTTAGAATAACACTTTGGGTATGATTGAGTTCAGCTTTTAATGTCTCCATTATATAAGAAGAAGAATCTTTTAGATAAGTTAACTCAGTGTTTTATCAGCTTTACAAGAGAGTCGTCTGCAATTCTCTCAGCTAAGATAATCCCTTCAACTTGCTTTCAAAAATTTTTATCATAATTTATGATGCGACTCAAAATAATTAATAAGTTCCTAATTAGTCATGAGGGGTTTAAAAGCCAAAATATCGTCTACAGAACTTACTATGAAGTGCAGACTATCTTTGTTAAGCCAAAGCAATGAATTTTGTATTGGCTAAGGCTTCCAGATTCAAATTTCTCAGCTTCACCTAAATATGGTAAATTGTTATTAAAGAAGCTAGTCTCCATCCTAATTTAACTTATGTATTGAAGCATCAGCTTATCAACTTACAGCTTTGGTATCGGTATAAAAAAGATTTTTTTCCTTTTTATCCTAGCTTCTCTGACACCTATAAATCTGATCATAAATTAGGACTTTTTGGCCTATATTTTGTTCCAGAACTTTTTACAGAACTATTAAGCAAGGAGGCAAGCTTGAAGAAAGCAAACTTTCTTATTAGCCATAATAAGAGTTGTGTGCAGTGTGAAATACTGTAGATGAGCAACCCTTGCACTCTTACTCTTTCCCTTCTTTTAAATATCACTAAGACAAGTGATTTTAGCTTAGTGATTCATGAATCAATATTTTGGAATTTTAGAAATTAAAAAATTTATAGGATACTTCTTCGATCAAACAGCAATTTAAGGAGAAGAGGTCACCTAAAAATAATGAATCGTCCAAAGAAGGAATAAACTTAATTAAAATAACTTAATACTCAAAAGAATTAGTCTAACATATTGTCATTAATACTATTCTTTCTTCATGAGTAAAAGCAAAGTGAAGGTAAATGCAATTATACTTCTCTTCTAAAACTTAGCATAACCCATAACCTCAATCAAATATTAAGCAGAACTATATTCGTGTAAATGTGCCTGAATTACAATGAATCCAAACATGAAAAAAAGACAATTTAAAGAAGCTTATCTATTCTTCGGCTTTTTTTGTACATCTGAGTTCGGTCCTTTTGTAATTTCTTAGATTCATTGCTTAAAACATGGTAGCAATATGAACTACCTCACCCTAGTCCAATTCTAGCCAATATCTCATTGAGAAAATTCAAAAAGTGTAAGAAACAAACTCTCTTCACCTACAATTTAGGAAAGCTAAAACTTCCTTGTAAGTAATTATACTGATTCATGAATCAAGCCAAACTGGTAGTTAGCCTAGCACCTGAAACTTAAGACTTAGCACTTAAAACTAAGAAGGATAGAATTTATTATCAACGGCCAGGTCATCTTTTTGTACAAAGGCATTGTTTTTAATTTCCAACATCGACCTTGCTTCATTAGAAATTAAATTAGTATTTCTAAAATTTAAAACAGCCTCCTCTGCATTTTAGTGATTAGATTGGTCATGCAATTCAGGATTCAAATCATTGAGGGTTATTATAAACCCTCAGGCATATGATAATATGGTAGAATAAAGCTGCAATATTTCAAGGAGTGGTAGTCTTAAATTTTGATTCATTAAATTACCCTTTCGTACTACTTTTCGCTGTCTTTTAAATAATAGAGGATTCAAAGAAGTCGCTATAAATTACAAGGGCTATAATCTTCAACTCTTGTCTAATATCTCTGCAATTTTAGCATCTTCCATTGCGATGCAGATTCCCCACAAGAATGTGGATGTCACTATGCTAAGAAATGTTTGTTTTCATCAATTCATCAAAACGTTCAAACTAAAAAGGCAAATAAACTCTCTATATAACTTAAAAAATCGGTACCTTCACCTAATTATATATCCAAAGCTCTCCTCAAGTACCCCCGCATAAAACCATAAGTTACCTCACTACAATTTCCCTATCACCCAAAAATCCCCAAAACCGCAAACTTCTCTCCAAAACTCCCTAATACCATCCACCCCTCTATCTCTCCTAAACCCTCCAATTTCCTTCCCTACCCCCCTCTCTCAGCTGCACACCTCACCGCCTCCTTCTAAAAATATTACATTTCAGCCATAAATCAATACTAAGGGGTTTTGGGGTTTTGGGGTTTTGGGG